ATCTGATCGAAGAAGACCTGTGCTATGCTTGTAGCAGTGTAAGGATGAGAAACCGGTATAAAATGGGCATACTTTGATAGTCGATCAACGACCACAAATATAGTCGTTTTTCCATTCAAGTTAGGAAGTCCGTCAATGAAATCCATGGAAATGTCTACCCAAACCTGTGTAGGAATAGGCAATGGTTGCAGCAGCCCAGCTGGTAAAACAGTTTCTGATTTGTGGCGTTGGCATGTATCACATTGTTTGATGTAGTCCTTGACTTGGTGCCTCATTCCCTTCCAGTAAAAGACAGCTCGAATTCGATAAAGAGTCTTATGATACCCTTCATGAGTGCTCGAGTGAAACTCAGAGATTATTGTAGGAATGAGTTGGGATCCTTCTCTTAGAAAAATACGATCTTTATAGAAAAGGATGCCCCCACGATATCCCCATGGACCGATTGCCTCATCATCTTGAACCCGTTGAATCAGACGTGTTCTTGCTGATTTTCTTCCTTGATTGGTTCCAACCATTGTGGTATAGGATAAGAAATTGCCAATATTTCTCCACCATCAATCCTCCTCGATAGCGCATCTGCTGCGACATTTTCAATTCCGTGCTTGTATTCAATCAAGAAGTCGTAGCCCATGAATTTCACCAGCCACCGTTGTTGTGCCACTGTGGTTATATTTTGATCCCACAAATACTTCAAACTCCTTTGATCGGTTCTAACGATAAACCGATTCCCCAAGAGGTATGGCCTCCATTTCTGTACAGCTAAAACTAAGGCCATAATTTCTTTATCATAAGTAGATAAAGCTAGGTTCTTACCTTGCAAGGCATAGCTGAAAAAAGCTATTGGGCGTTGGTCTTGCATCAATACTGCCCCAACTCCCAATCCTGAAGCATCACAGTCCACAATAAAAGCTTTGTTGAAGTTAGGTAGAGCTAATACCGGTGCTTGAGTCATAGCTTGCTTCAACCTCTCAAAAGCTTGTTCAGCCTGAGTACTCCATGAGAAAGAATCCTTCTTCAACATATTGGTTAGTGGCCTTGCAATTTCTCCATACCCGTCAATGAACTTACGGTATTATCCCGAGAGGCCCAAGAAACCACGAAGAGCCTTAAACGTTGAGGGCTTAGGCCATTCTAATACTGCAGAAATTTTATAAGGGTCCATGGCAACCCCATCCTTTGAAATGATGTGGCCAAGATATTTCACCTGTTCGTGGCCAAGATATTTCACCTGTTCCTGGCCAAATTGACACTTTTCTGTTCTAACATATAGCTTGTTAGTCCTTAATGCAGATAAGGCAATCTCTATATGATGTAAATGCTCATCCCAGTTCTTACTATAAATCAAAATGTCATCAAAAAACACTAATATGAACTTATGAAGGTGTTCTTTGAAGACTTCATTCATTAGAGATTGAAATGTCGAAGGTGCATTGGTGAGACCAAACGACATAACGAGAAACTCAGTGTCCATGATGAGTGCGAAATGCGGTCTTGGCAACATCACTTGGGTGCATTCGGATTTGATAATAGCCCAACCGCAAATCCAATTTGGTGAAAAATCTTGCTCCCTGCAACTCATCAAGTAGTTCATTAACTACCGGAATTGGAAACTTATCCTTGACTGTTACTTTATTCAGCGCCCGATAATCTACGTATAATCTCCACGACCCATCATGTTTCTTGACTAATAGAACTGGGGAGGAATAAGGACTGTTGCTAGGCTAAATTATCCCAGTCGAGATCATGTTTGAGATCATCTTCTCTATCTCGTGCTTTTGATAAAAGGGATAACGATATGGCCTAACGCTTACTGCACCATTACCTTGAATCAAGGGAATTTGGTGATCGTGGGTCCTTGTAGGTGGCAATCCTTGGGGTTCAGAGAAGACATCCTAATAAGAATTCAAAAGAATTTGCAATTTAGGATTATCTGAACTTGGACCACCTTCAGTTCTGCCCAGATTTATGGAGTATAGTTGCAAAATAGCTCCTTGTTTCCTCTGATTGATCTCTCGGCTGATTTGGACATCTCATACAAACTTGTTATCAGGAATTGAATTTCCTTGCAATATGACCTCATTTCCTTCAAGGATAAATTTCATTTGTAGCTTTGAAAAATCCCAGCTAATGGGTTCGAGAGTTCTTAACCACTGTGCTCCAAGAACGGCGTCACAGCCTCCTAACGGCAAGAGATAGAAATCTACGACTATTGGGGTACCTTGGAGTGACATTTGTACTCCTTGGCATCGCCCTGCACTTGAAAGTTTCTCGCCATTAGCCACAATTACTTCAAAACACCCATCCTTCATTGCTTGTAACCCTGCCGTCTTAGCAACCTTGTCACTTAAAAAGTTATGTGTGCTGCCCGAATCTATTAGAACAGTGATCATATGATGATCAATGTTTCCCTTTACTCTCATAGTTTGGGGAGTGCGGGTTCCAGCGATGGCGTGAAGCGATATCTCGGGAATCTCTTCGTCGACTTCATTTTGCTCCTCCTCTAGCTCCTCCCTTTTAGCATCTTTGGCACCTTCTTCTCCTGACCAGCAACCTTCAAGAATGAAGAGTTTTTTACAGTGATGTCCGGGGGCAAATTTCTCATCACAATTGAAGCACAATCCTCTGTCTCGTCGCTCCTTGAGCTCTGCTGGAGTGAGTTTTTGAACTGGAAGAGTTGTGGTGCGTGAACCATTTGGTGAGAGGGCTGTAGACGTTTTCCTTGTCTCAGGTGGTGGAGTTCTTCGCATATTTTGATACTTTGCTTCGTAAAGACGAGCCAACCCCACAGCAGCAGACAGTGTAGCTGGTCGAGAAGCTTGAACTTCAGTTCTGATAGTTTCCCTTAAGCCACTCACAAAACATCCAACCTGCTGAGCAGGCAAGAGTTTTCCTGCCCTGCTTAGCAGCCTTTCAAATTGAGTTTGGTACTCCCGAACAGATCCTGTTTGCTTTAATTTGGTAAGGTCACCAAAGAAATCTTCGAATTGAGTTGGGCCGTATCTAGCATGTAGACCTCTTTGAGCATTTCCCAAGTAACCGTTCCAGATTCTTTGAGATTTAAAAGATCATTGTATTCCACCGAAAAAAAGTTAGTTTATGTGATTTTTACTTTGATTTCATTTAAAATAGAGAGAAATTGGTTTTTTTGTTTTATACATTAATTGAGTCTTAAATCTTAATATATTGTGTCATGCTTGAATTTAATTTTGTTTTCGGCCTATGTATTTCTAGTTAGATTTAACATCGTATTCGGGTTCCACCCTGCTTACATGATGCACTCTATGCTGCTGTAGTTAGGTTACCTGAATGAAAACAAAAAAGAAGTGGATGGAACGGTAGGTGTCTCTAGTTTTGACATAAGGCGACGTTTATTCTCCACTTCCTCTGCTGCATAAGAGCCACTATCCTTGCTGCAGAGGATGAAGCAAGACCAAGGAGTCTCTGCTACAGTACTAAGAGGAGGATCGAGCTTGAGATCCTCCTCTACTGGCTGAACATTCTCTTCTACCTCCAAATTGAGGACGATCCAACAAATCTCTCTAATATGTCTTGGATTATTGTATTAATCACAATTCAACTTCTCATTATCATTAGATGTAGCATCATTTCCACTTTCTCTATCAACTTTCTGATTTCAAAATTGGCTATCTCAAAAATTAGTAGTAGTCAGGGCTGAACTCTCATGGGGCATAGGGTGAAAGAAGCATGGTCCTTTATTTGCTCTCTTTTTTGGCTGAATATAAGCATACAACTCTAGTACAGAAGTAAGAGGCTCCTTCCTTGGGATTTGAATCCTAATTTGATCAAACTCAGGATTCAAGCCACCAAGGAACTTCGTAATCATCTCCTGTTTAATTAACTTCTAAAGTTTGAAGCATTTCTAGAATGCACACACGGGCAGATTTGTGATAGTGATCCAATTCTTGTCATAACCCTTGCAAAGTATGAAAATAAGTCGCCAAAGAGGAACCTCTCTATTTAGTATTATGCATTTTGACCTTTTGACTTATAGACCTGTTCCATATTTCTCATTTTTGTGTACATCTCTGAAAATTGTTTTTGAAAGACTATTAGATTCTAACATCTTTAAATCATATTTCAACCTCTTTTCAAGATCCCACGTACACACTAACAGGCTTAATAGGCGAAAAAACAAGAAGAAACACAACTACTATGTCTAAACAACATTTACTCTACCCGAAGCACAAAAAATAAACTTCCTGTACATAAAAATAATCTTCCGAGACCTTTGAATCCATGAAACTCCACAAATTTCGGTCTAAATAACTGGGTAACCATTGGGCAATGAAAATCGACACTTTTAATGGCTATTCCTAGCATCAATCCCACCAGAGAAGGCCAGATTTGTTCCCCCCCACAACAAAAACCCAAAAGAGACCCATTTTTCCCAAAAATAGGCCCCTTTTCCCCAAAGTAAGAAAAAATTGGGAAAGAGGCACCGAAAAATTTCAAATAAATTTCCAAACATCAAGACAGGTAGTTCTACCTAGTTGACCATGGCTGTGATTTTTTTTTTTCCTTTAGCTGGTAGAAAATAAACAAATAAAAAAAATGTGCTTCTTACAGACTGAAACTCTATTGGGGTTCTGCGAATAGAAGAAGTTGAGAATCATGTAACTTAGGGTTCTCTCTCTATGTCACCTATGTTTACAACTTTAATTGTCTTACTGACAAAAATACCCTTCATAAGAATGAAAATAATATAAAAGGCTTAAAAAACTTCTAACAATGACATCTAAGTGGACTTCTCTTAGCTAAAAAATTTCTTGATGTTTTTAGGAGTTTTATAAATGCACACACCTATATGCTCAATGTGAGCCTGAAGAATGCCTTTCCGAAACATGCAAGTTCCATATAACGATCGTCTTGAGATTAATGTTTCGAATATGTAGCATTTCAATACATGCAACTGCTTTTTCAAACTGGTTGTTGACTTCTTGCTATGGTCTTACTTTTTTCTATTGTGGTTTAATGTAAACAGATAATGCCTTTAGTTGAACCAACAAGGTTGATAATGGGCATGACAGTCCGTAACTATGAATGGCATGAATTCTTTCCAAATGCAAATGGTGATATCTCAATTACTGCTTAACCATTTCTCTATTTTTGTTTCTTTTAAGGCTATATGATCTGATTGAATTCTTATTTTGAACATGGTGTAGTAACTCATAATATTGGTGTTGTTATTGCTATATGGGCTCCAATTCTCCTGGTAAGTGGACTGCTGAAGCATCCATCAGAATGGAAGTTTTCTTTTATGCTGTATTCAAAATAATAATAACAATTAATTGCTTTATAGGTCTATTTCATGGATGCCCAAATTTGGTATGCTATCTTCTCTACAATTATCGGTGGGATCTATGGGGCTTTCAATCACCTTGGTGAGGTTAGTGGTCATTTTTTCCACAAATGTTGGGTAAACATGTGTCAGTGGGTATAAAGTATTGAGATTCTTTGACTTGGTCATTCTTCAAACAAGGAAAAGTGATTATATCTCTTTCAGAACTTGGTTGTCGCATTATTCATGTTGGTGATATAGTGTTGTTCTTGACTTTTATTGTGCATGTTTATGCTTGCTTTAGATACGAACTCTTTGGATGTTGCGGTCAAGATTTGAGTCTGTTCCTTCGGCTTTCAGTAAACGTCTTGTGCCAGGGTTAAAAGAGCAATCTAAAAGAGATCATTCGGTATTGTCAATCTTTACTGACATTCTCTGTAGTATTTGGCATTCTAGTGGCTGTTGTACTGAATGGATGCAACAACCAATATCTATGTTCATGCAACTTTTGAAACAGGACTTGATGTCCTACTCATGATTAAGTAGCAGTTGCACTACTTCTTCTTTGACTGATGTAATGCTACTGTGGCAGGATGATACACTCGTAAGAAAGAACATTGCAAAATTTTCTCAGGTGTGGAATGAATTCATATTCTCTATGCGGATGGAGGACTTGATCAGCAATAGGTTCAGACTGCTTCTCTCAAGCATATATATATACATGCATTAAAGTCACCATTTTAAAGTTCATGACTTTTTCATTGATTTTGCTTGTCTAGAGAGAGAGATCTGCTTCTCGTACCATATTCATCAAGTGATGTATCTGTTGTCCAGTGGCCTCCTTTCTTGCTCGCTAGTAAGGTACAAGCTTTCAATGATCTGTACTGCTTTTTATGATATTCATTGCACTTCTGTAAATAACTATTTTTTTTGCTTAAATTCACATAAGATACCAATCGCATTAGATATGGCGAAAGATTTTAAGGGAAAAGATGACGAGGACTTATTTAAGAAGATTAAGAGTGATGACTACATGCTTTCAGCAGTGATTGAATGCTACGAGACACTAAGGGCTATACTGATTAACCTTCTGGAGAGCGACTGGGAGAAGAAGTAAGGCAGATCAAATAATTAGCTTGTGTTTGCTCAACAATACTATGATTTTATATGCCCAGCTACTATTTTTATTATACTCTCATGCTTGCTAAGGAGGCTCATTGACGTTTGGCTTCTGGTCCTTATATAGGATCATTAGTCAGATATGTGATGAAGTAGATGAAAGCATTCTACAACAAAGATTTCTAAGTGAATTTCGGATGACTGGGTTGCCTGGTCTCAATGATAAGTTGGAAAAATTCTTGAACCTTCTGGTAACATGTTTCTGTGTTATCTATTTTCAAATTGTTTAGCAGCAATGTTGTACGTACTTCGGGGACTTGATACATATCTGCACTGAGAAAATACTTTGGTATCTGGACAGCTATCAGATTTTCAAGACATTAAACTATACAAAGCCCAAATCATCAACATTCTTCAGGATATTATGGAGATCATCACCCATGATGTTATGTATAATGGGCCCGAGTAAGTTTTGAGAAAGTCCATGGTTATTTGGTTTTTATCGACAATCACTTATTTTAGTCTGAGCATTCATGATTCATTTATGGTATGGGATCTCCTCCTCTTCATAGAATCCTTGAAAAAGCTCACCCGTACCAGCTTGAAACTGAAAATGACAAAAAAGAGCAGAGGTTTGAAAAGATAAGCATCCACCTCACACAAGATAGAGCTTGGAGAGAAAAGGTATCTGGTACTCAAACCTTTTTTTTGTTAAAGTGAATGCAAAACATCCTATGTAATTTTTTGTCCTTTCTGTTAGTCTTGGTCATTTTTCAATGTTGTTCTTAGACTTGATTTTTCTTTCTTTTGTCTTCTACAGGTTGTAAGGCTTCATTTGCTTATTACAGTCAAGGAATCTGCTATAAATGTGCCTATGAATTTGGAAGCTCGTCGGCGAATTACTTTCTTTGCGAACTCCTTATTTATGAACATGCCTAGTGCTCCAAAAGTTCGTAACATGCTCTCTTTTAGGTCAGTTACTTTGAACTCAAAGCTTTGTCTCCTTGGTTCTTGAATAATCAGATTTGTACCCCTTTTGAGAGTGCGAATGCGATCGATCCTGATATGTTGAAACAAATGTTCTAGACCTAGAGGGGGGTTTATGCACTCTAACACGAAATTAACTCCCAATTAAAACCTATTGCACTTAATTAGAGATTAATTGACCAATTAATGCAATCCCCCCCCCCAAAACCCCCCCCCCCAAAAAAAAAAAAAAAAAAACTCCTTCAATCCAATTCACCGACTTGAAGATTGAAGGAAAATGCCCAAATTTCCTAAACACCTTTCAAACCAAATTGATCTCTTCCATCAAAGCGGCCAAGGCCACAAGCACAACACACACAAAAAAACAGTTTTTACTTGAAACCATCTTGTGAAAAACCACTAGACTCCAATCGATCTAACATAATCCACTAGTTTCAAACGAAAATTAAAAGATCTAAAGTGTTATACCTACCAATCCTATGGTTAGATGCTTTCTTACTTGATCTTCACTCTGAAGTGCATCTCAAGCTATTGACGACTAGCTTCAATAGGTGACGAATCGAGCTCCACAATCTGCCCTTGGAATCCTCATTTTCTCTATGGAATCCTCCTTTGATCGTTAGGCACCTTCTTGGATCCTTGCTTTGTGGGTTTTAGTCATTCTACACGCCCTCAAGACTCTAGATGAAATTCTCTTTAATACTATAGATTGAGCAAGCAGAGATTGGGGTTTACTTTTGGTTGGTAGGGGAAGCTTCTTGAATATCTCTGTAGCTTTTCTTAAACCCTAGTCTCTCAAGTCAAGAGAAGATGTCCCCTATTTATAGGTGTATGAAAAGAGGAGTTAATTGGCGAGCATGAAACCAGATCCGCACCGCTGGAGTGCGAAGAGAGTGGTTTGAGATTGGCTGTCACTGGAACAATTTCCTTCTAGGCTGTGAACAATGGACCGCTGGAGCTCTGAGAGAGCAGCCAGAGATTGGTGACTATTGTATTGCAATATCATGCCCAGTCTATTTTCTTGAACCTCTAGAGTGCTTGGAGAGCGCTACGCACCGCACTGGTTTTTCATCTAAACTAAGGCAGCAGCCAGAGATTGGTGACTATTGTATTGCAATATCATGCCCAGTCCATTTTCTTGAACCTCTAGAGTGCTTGGAGAGCACTGCCTACCGCACTGGTTTTTCATCTAAACTAAGGCTTTTTTTCAACTTTTCAAGCACCAATGGGTGATACTTAAAAGCTTCCACACCATGACTCATATCTCGTTTCAACCAACCTTCAAAGTCTTATAAGAGTTTTTCTCAATAAAAATGAGTCGTGCTATGGATTTTCATACTAACACATCTAAATCCGTTTTAACCTCCTAAGTTATACCATTTTAGGGCAACTAGGTATCTAGGTTTTCTTACCTCAGTTAAGCTTGTTGAGATCTAACTAGTCTTCACCTATGTTCCTACGTAACTTGAACTTCTTCATCACATATTGCTTTGGTCTCCTGTCTTCACAAACATCTTGACCATGGATTTAGTTTGAGATACAAGTACAAAGTGACCTCATGGAATTGCAATCAACTTCCTTACACCCTTCTTTTGCTTCTTGATGCATTGCTTTATAGCGATGTTACTAATCTTGATATTGAATTTTGCAGAGGTACTGCAAGGTTATTAATTACTATTTATTTGTTGACAAGAATTCTAGCCCTTTAGTATTGTAGATTGAAGGAAATGATTACATTTCTATTCTACGTAAAGCTTAGTTCATTTTCGTATATCCAAATATAATTGGGTTGCTCACTGTTAATGGTTTTGTTTATTTGTTTTAACAAAAAATCTTTAGAAGCTTATATATGTAAGGCGCTATATTGTTTTTTCGTGTCCAAGACAACACTTCATTGGTAAATAGATTGGTAATTATAGTTACAATTCTTGTGTCAAATTGTTCGACTCTCTTATCAAGAGTTGCTATTCCTATCCATTATTGGTGCATTTGTTTCTGTCTTTATGAATGGTTGCATCACCATGTGTATGATTTTGTGAGTGTTGGTCATGAGGTATGTGACAAAGCCCACCCTTTTCTAAATCAGCATTTTGAATTATTGTTAACAGCGTCTTGACACCATATTACAAAGAAGAAGTTCTTTATTCCGAAGAGGAGCTTAACAAAGAAAATGAGGATGGAATAACAATATTGTTTTATCTTCAGAAAATATATCCAGGTGAATTTTAAACTCATTTTTTGACTGGTCCTGCTTATTTGGAATAAGTGTAAATTTCTTGTTTGTTTTTGTACTAGAGGAATGGAAAAATTTTGAAGATCGGATTAGCGATCCAAAACTTGGATATGCTAGCAAAGACCGGATTGAATTAATTCGTCAATGGGTATCTTACAGGGGGCAGACACTTTCTAGAACAGGTTTGGATGACAATTGACTTGTGCATTTTATCTCACTTCAGCAACATGAATATATTTTCACTTAGTTATGCATTGTGGTTATATATTTCCACCAGTGAGAGGGATGATGTACTACAGAGAGGCACTCGAACTTCAATACTTCCTGGATTTTGCCGGGGATAATGGTTAGTGTTTTCTGTTGCAGAAACTGTGTTGGCACTTGTAGGCAATAAGGGGACCTGTTAATTCCAATTTCTTCTCTAGTGGACACGATGGCTTAATACTGGAAGCTTCTTATTAATGAATGATGTAAGTTTCCTTTGCAGATATATATGATGGGTACCGGACCCTCGATATGAACTATGCGGCTCATAAAATTCTCAGGGAAAGTGCCCAAGCTCTGGCAGATTTGAAGTTCACCTATGTTGTTTCATGTCAGATCTATGGTGCTCAGAAAAAATCAAGTGATATTCGAGAGCGAAGTTGTTATTTAAACATACTGAATCTCATGTTAACGTAAGTTGCAGTTGTTTGTAGATGAACTTTTAGAAGTTGCCATTCATGATCTGAAATGTTAACAGAATTTCTAATCCAATGGTGAACTGCTCAGGTATCCATCGTTACGCGTTGCTTATATAGATGAGAGAGAGGAGAAGATTAATGAAAAATCTCAGAAAGTTTATTATTCTGTTCTTGTCAAGGGTGGGGATAAGTTTGATGAGGTACGGAGTATAGCTAGGAGCAAAATGCAAAAGAAATTAACTACTTTTAGTGAGTTGTTTTTGAAGATAGATTTTGTTATAGGATTTTTGCCAATTGATCCAGTGGAGCCTCCCCGCCCCTTTCCTCTATTTATATTGCTTATGATTTTTTGTTACATATGGAAATGTTAGGAAATATACCGTATCAAGCTTCCAGGTCCTCCAACCGAAATCGGTGAAGGGAAACCTGAAAATCAAAATCATGCCATTATTTTCACTCGCGGGGAAGCCCTGCAGACCATAGACATGAATCAGGTAACCTGAAATTTACCATGTTATATCAAAAATAGACATAAAAAGCAACCAAGTGACTCACTTTTTATCTTCAGGATAATTACTTTGAGGAAGCTTTCAAAATGAGAAATGTATTGGAGGAGTTCCTGAGAAGTCATCATGGACAGCGACATCCAACAATATTGGGATTGAGGGAGCATATTTTTACTGGAAGGTTGGCTTTTACATTTATCTTTATTATTAGTATAAATGATCTCGATGTGTCTTATAGCCAGTGTCAGAAATCAGTGAGGAGCCAAAGAATGTTGCCTAAGAATGACAATAGTATTCTTATTGGTTTCTCTTTTGATTGGCAGTGTTTCGTCACTCGCTTGGTTCATGTCCAATCAGGAGACTAGTTTTGTAACGATTGGCCAAAGAATTTTGGCAAACCCTTTAAGGTAAGGTCTTCCTTTCCCCCCTTTCTCCCCCGCTCCCTCCTCCTCCTCCAACCCCAAAGCACAATAAAAGAAATTCCTGTGAGGTTTATGTTTGATGCAAATAACTCACCATCATTGTTTACAAACATTTATCCACTTTAAAGCCTGGATGGTTGGGAAAAATATCCTTGCATGTAAAGCTTGAAAATGACGATGCTTATTTCTTTGAGTCATGGTGTTGTATCAAAATAACTAATTTTGCCAAAGAAGAATTTTAAGATACCGAAAACATGGTGTTTTATGGTCTTAGAAAAGAGAAGGGGCTAGGGTTACAAGTTGGCAAGAAGTTACAAGTTTGAGGGTGGTTCAAGTATAGTGAAGGGTACATGTGAACAAATTGGAAGAAAATGCCTGGATATATAGTAAAGAAAACACAATAGGCTTGAAAAAAAGGAGGATATAGGTTAATAGTAGTAGCCATGGCCTAGTGGGTGTTAATAAAGACTACTATTAGGCAAAAAATAGTTGGGTTGTGAAGTTTTAGGGTTTAGAGAAGGAGAGAGAAACTTGAACAAGAAAAGAGTGATACATTATATTTAGGGTTATGTGTTATATCCCACAACTGATCCCGAGCTTATATATAAATATAAAGTACCAGAATACCTTAACATAAATATAAAACAAAACATAACATTCCCCTCAAGTTGGTGCATAGATATCTTATGCCCAACTTGCAAACAATGGGGTGAAAGATCTTGCCACTAAGCCCTTTAGTGAAAATATCAATCAACTGTTTTTCATATTTTACAATGGGCATGCAAATCAAACCATTGTTTAGATTTTCTTTGATGAAGTGCCGGTCAATCTCAACATGTTTAGTTCTATCATGTTGCACCAAATTATGAGTAATATTGATAGGAGTCTTTTTATCACTGTATAGTTTCATGGGTCCATCATTGTGAAGTCTTAGCAGTCCCAATAAGATTTGAAGCTACATAAACTCACAAATTCCATGAGTCATTGCATTGCATTCAACCTTGCACTGGACCTAGCTACCAAGATTTTTTTTTTTTTGCTTTGCCAAGTAATGAGGTTCATTCTTATCAAGCTCCATTAATGTGAAGTAGATCGTTTATCATCTACTACATTTTCCCAATTTGCATTAGTAAATAATCAAGTTTCAACTTATCATGATTGAAAACTAAGGGACTTAAGATATCTCACAAAGGTAAACTGCTTCAAGATGAAAATCTTGAAGATAATTGATTAATAACACCTACTGTATATTCAATATCTAGTCGTGTGTGTGAGAGATGTATCAATCTCGCCACTAATCTCTTGTACCTTTCTTTATCTACTACATCACCAACATCGTCATTGGATCGATGATTTGTTTCAATAAGACATTCTGTAGGTCTACAACCCAACATAACATGTTTCTCCACGAAGGTTAAGAGCATAATTCATTTGGGAGATAAAAATATGTTTATCTGATTTGACAACTTCAATCCCAAGAAAGTATTTCAATGGAACCAAGTCTTTGATTTTAAATTCCTTAGCTAATTGAGTTTTCAATTTGTGACTTTCTCCACATGATTCCCTGTTATTACTACGTCATTTACATATACAATAAGAACGGTTATCTATCATCAACCCATTTGATAAACATAGTATGGTTAGTGTGTCGATTTTTATAACCATATTTCAGCATAGCTTTGCAAAACCTCCAAACTTTGGGAGACTACTTCAATCCATAAAAGAAATTCTTCAACTTACACACCTTTTCTTCCGTTAACTAGGATGAAAATCCTAGTAGGATCTCCATAGACACCTCCTTCAAAACTCCCCCAAGAAATACATTTTTCACATCCAACTACTGCAGATTCTAGCTCATATTAGCTACATAAGACTAGATATCATGTTTGGAGTTTATCTATGCCACAGAAGCAAAGGTCTCTTGATAATCATTGCCGCCAGACTGAGTGAATCTCTTAGCAACCAATCAAGTTTTGTACCTCTGGATTGTCTCATCAGCTTGTTGCTTGACCGTGAACACTTTTTTGCATTTAACTAACTTTGCCCTAGTAGGGAGGAAACCAATAACTACCTTTGCCCTAGCAGGGAGGAAACCAAATCCCATATGTGATTCTTTCTTAGGACTTTCATTTCCTCTACCTTAGTTTTAAAAGAGACAAGGTTAGAGATGAGGTGTTGAGTGCAAATTCTGGTACTCTTCTTGACTGCAATTGGAAGCACAAAATCATTAACAATTGTATTATCCATTGTAGGACTAATGAGTAACAATTGGAAGTTCATTACCTCATAAACCAGTAGAAGATTCTTTAACCAAAGTTAGAGAATGTAACTAACTCAAGGGCACATGGTAGTCTATACCTTTTGACGCTGAGAATAAGTTTTTAGAGTATCCTTGTCAAAGTGAGCACTAGGAGGATCACTAGTATCACTTTTTTGTTCCATAGTTTTTTTTTTTGCTCCCATTGATTAATATCCTAGTAAATAGGCAATTGAAGAAAAAACTCTTGACATACCATCTCTTCCTCAATTGTGGTATTCTCCCGAAGAGATGGATGGGAATTAGGAAAAAATGACACAGATTCTCGAAAGGTGGCATCCATTCTAACTTATATCTTCGGAGACTGTGGATGATGACATTTATTCTATTTATGGGTATCAGAATAACCAATGAAAATACATTATGAAGCCTTAAGGTCCATTTTTTTCCTAATGGCCATGTACAAAATAAAAACACTCGAAAACTTCAGGAGAAAGGAAAGAAATAGAAAAAAATTCAAAGAGTACATTAACAGGTGACTAAAACTACAATAGTGAGAAATGCATCCCCCTAAAGTGATTATGAAAGTTCATAGTAAATATTAATGACTGAGTAATCTTAAGAAGGTGTTGATTTTTTCTCTCAGCGACACCATTCTGTTTGAAGTACCCACACAATTGGTTTGATAAAGAATGTCATTGCTCATTGAGATGGGAAGGAAGTTCCCTATCAATGTATTTAGTTTCATTATCACTCTGGAGAATTTTTATTTCGACATTAAATTGATTTTGTGAAAAGATCGAATGCAAGAGAGAACAATTCACTCTTAGTGTAAAGCAAGTAAACCCAAGTAATACAAAAATAACAGTCAATAAAAGTAACAAACCAACAATAACCCGAGGGAAATACCACACGGGAATGTCCCTATATTAGAATGAATAATCATAATATAAGTAGTGTCTCTATTATTATTAATAAGATTAAAGGAACGTTTATGCTTGACAAATTCATAAACATCACAAACAAAAAATTGTCAATTACAGTGCTTTATTAGACTATGAAAAAATTGTTTCTGAGACATAAATGAAGGATGTTCTAAACGTTTATGCCATTGATGTAAAATTTGAAGGAATGAAACACCATCAGCCTAAAGGGCTTGTATTGAAGAATGAGAATGGGCTTCAATGTCCAAAAAATACCGACCACCATGTGTTCTACTATTGTCAATTTGTTTCTCCCACTCTAGATTTTTTAAGATGCAATGAGTTGGGGAAAATATCAATGAACAATCCAAAGAGTCCATAATGCTGCTAACGAATAATAAATTAGTCGAAAATTTTGTGACGTAAAGAGCATATGAGAGAGACATAGAGGAAGAGCAATCAATTAAACATTTCTCAGAAATAAATAAAGATTCATCTGCTGCACTTACTTTATCCTCACCAGAACATGTACAGTATGAAAAGAAATGGCTTGAGGAACCAGTCATGTGGTTCGTAGCCCCCAAAATCTATGATCCAAGGGGTATATGAGGGATGAAATAGTAAACGCATTCACAGATATACTTTTATGAGCAAATTTGGAGGAAGACGGCTGTTAGAAACTGTAGTAGAGGAAACATTAAGCCGAGCCATCAGATGCCTAAGAGTCTGCTTCTCATCCGTAAAAAAATTAGCATAGGTGTTGCTTGATGAGATGGAGTCTCTGAAGATTTAGTCATGTGTGCATGAGATAGCACAGTACCACCTCGGTCGCTGCCACTACCACACCCACTTGTTTGAGATGGAGTCTTTGAAGATTCAGTCATGTGTGGGGCATCCAGTCAACTTCCAATAAAACTACCTAGTGTGTTTACTGACTTTACTCATCCCACAGTAGTCACACTTTAAAGCATCTAGTCACCGTCCTCTAGTAGGATTCGAAGCACGAAAAACACTTAGATTAGCCAAAAAAAATAGATCACAAAGATCAAACCAATATTTTGGAAAACATTTGAAATTAGAAATCCCCATTCTTTATGGATTCAAAAAAATAAACCCAAATAACCATAATTATTAGCACACAAACGTTAACAGTAGAAACTGCACTATCTGACCTCTGCGTTATTTTCGACTATATATTTTTGATGATATTTTGCCTCAAATCGTTTCTCTGATACCAAGTTGAAACTTGAATAGTTGAATATTATGGTTTACAAAAAGAACGAGAAGAAAAAGAAGATAGAGGAAGAAAGGGATTATGAAACAGTATCATGTGTAGGATGTGTATTGCCTTCGCTTTTACCTATTTATATTAGATTGATATTGAATACAATTACAATATTATCCTATACTAGAATATTTTGAATAATAAAGACAATAGGAAAGTAAAAATCTAGCACAGATATCTAATTGACTAACTCAAATTTAATGAAGCATATAGAATGTAATAGCTAAGCTTCATCTCCTACTATGATCATAATCTGCCTTCTACCAATTATTTGTGTTTCCTGTCACTTCCAAATATGTTATATAGGACTGGCATGTTGGCGTAGAGTTGAATGGGCAGCAGAAACTTAGCTAATGAACTCACAGGAGTGCTTATTTGTTAATTCTGAGTTTCTCTCACTGCACATCACTTTTATATCATAGCACTTTGTAGTTGATACTTGATAGATTCCATTTATCTTGTTTTTCTCCTGGAAATCCAGTTGTCAAATCATTCTGCTATCGTTCAATATGGTGATATCATGATGATTGAATTGAATGTAAGCTGACTTCCTATGCCATCACCTTATGAGTTTCTAACTAACATTAAATCCTGATTTCTCAGGGTACGGTTCCATTATGGTCATCCTGATATATTTGATAGGATCTTTCACATAACAAGGGGTGGCATAAGCAAAGCTTCAAGAATAATAAACTTAAGCGAGGACATTTTCTCAGGTAAACCTTTGGTTCTTTAAGAGATGATCCAGTAGTCATGAAGTCATATCTTGAGGTTATCGAGGAGTGTAAGGTGACCATATGATTTGCCAGTATTACTTGATGGTTAATGTGCTAAATATTTCAGGTTACAATTCAACTCTGCGTGGGGGCTTTGTAACGCATCATGAATATATCCAAGTAGGCAAGGGCCGCGATGTGGGTATGAATCAGATATCACTTTTTGAGGCCAAGGTTGCAAATGGTAATGGAGAGCAAACACTTAGCCGTGACGTTTATCGGCTTGGACGCCGGTTCGACTTCTATAGAATGTTGTCATTCTACTTCACAACAGTTGGTTTCTACTTTAGTAGCATGGTAAACTCTTGAACTAACCACTTGCATTAACATGTACTTCTTCACGTGTTCTTAATCTTTGAAGAGTTTGTTATCTTTTCTGGATCTGGATGTACGTCGGGATTCTGCCAACAGTCAGTTGTCCTCAGTCGTAATCCCAGTTTTATAATGTGATAATAACCCTCGGATAAGGCAAATTGGGTAACAGGAACACAAAGTACAAACCTTAATTTAGAATGACAACATAAAGAATTGGAAGGGGTGAGGGTGGATTGGAGTTCACAACAGTGTGATGTTAGATTCGGGATAAGCTGCTGAGTTTACTGGGGAAACTAATGCTCAAGTCATTAGCTTTTGTTCATTATTCATTGATCAAGCTGGGTAAACCGGGAAATTAGTATGGTTTCAATTCTTAATTCTTGCCTTATGTCTACTCCCTACCTCTCCCCCCACCATCTCCCTCTGCCCATATTTGACCTGTCTTTTCAGAGTAGAAATTTACAGGCTTGGGAGCTGAATCATCGTAGAAAAAAAAAAGGCAATCCTCATGATTTGTGTGGGAAGAATGGGTTCGTCAAAACCGGGTGGAAAGGGAAGGGACCAAGCTCAGAGTTAGAGGCGAGTTCAAGACAAAAGCTTGGATATTGTGATTTTGCCTTTCTAGTAGCTAGTGAAACTCCATGAATGGACAGAAAGGGTGGTGAGGAAACCATTGTAAGGAGTCAAAATAATTGAGGAGACCTTTGTTCCCTTTTTTGCTTGTTTAATAGCTTAAGACGAGTACAATGAGGATCAGAACCGGGCAACCCCTTTCAGTCAAGCCCAGTTGAAATGCTAGCTAGGAAAGCTCTTGGAAGGTTAGGAAGGATAGGGTTTCAAACCTCCCTGCCCTTTGCTTTCACTTTGTCTTGTGCTACTCGATCTTGTGTAGAAGTTCAGCACAGAGCAATAGCTCACACATGTAGTGAAATTAGTTTCCCGGCTAAAATTCCGCTTCAGTTGTTTTGTGATAATCCGGTCGTTGTTCATATTGCTTCTTACCCTATGTTTCATGAACGAAAGAAGCACATTGAGTCTAATTGCCACGGTGTTAGAGAAAAGGTTTTGTGTGAAGCCATTGTCACACCATTTGTCATATATGAGGATCAACTTGCGGATATGTTTACTAAATCATTAATTAGTAATCGACTACAGGAAATTTGTTCCAAGTTGGGATTATATGATATATATTCACCAGTTTGAAGGAGTGTTAGAATATGTAGGAGTAGTATTCTTGTAATGAGTATATACCTTGAGGGGTATATAGGTCATTTGCTTGTTTTTCACATACATATATATACATGGATGAGAGGTGTGTGGTGTGCTCTCATTCTCATTTTCTCTTTCTCTGTTTTTTCTCCAAAACCCTAATTCCTAAATTCACATAGACAATGCAAAAACAAGATAAAAAAATATTCCTCGTTCATGAACTCAAGTTTCCCAGCACGAGAAACCCAGTGCAAGTTCAAAGGAAAGCACTTCACGCATAGAATGCCAGTGATTAGGTTTATTCCTCTATTCAGCTTTCCATGCTACATTTTTTTTCCTTTTTTGGGTGGGGAGGGGGACATTTGGTAGAGGTATTTGTCTAATTTTTTTTTTCTCATGTCCATTTTTCCCATATATTATGGTAAAGGTGTTTCATGTGCTCATGCATATAGGGAGTGGGGTTGGGATGGTGTTAAACACGATGCCTGCAAACACATGCTAAAATCCACCAGTCCCAGTGCTAGTTGTGTCTATATGACTTGATGCGTTTACTTCAAAAGGGGTGCTGATTCATACCCTAGGCAATGGGATTTTGTTTCACTTTTGATCTCATAGTTATACTCGGCCAAAAGTTTTGCTTGCAAACCATAGCCATAATAATGTATGTTCAGAGACTGATTTGGAACTCATGTTTTCCAGGTTACTGTCCTTACTGTATACTTATTTTTATATGGGCGTTTATACATGGTTTTGAGTGGTTTGGAAAGAAGAATTCTGGAAGATCCAACTGTTCGCCAGAGCAAGGGACTGGAGGCTGCTTTGGCAACCCAGTCAGTCTTTCAGCTGGGGCTGTTGCTGGTGCTGCCTATGGTGATGGAAATTGGCCTGGAAAGAGGTTTTCGCACTGCAGTGGGTGATTTTATAATTATGCAGCTGCAGCTGGCGTCTGTATTCTTTTCCTTCCAGCTTGGAACAAAGGCGCATTATTATGGCAGAACAATCTTGCATGGAGGTTCTAAGTATCGTGCCACTGGCCGTGGATTTGTTGTTTTCCATGCAAAGTTTGCTGATAACTATAGGATGTACTCCCGTAGTCACTTTGTGAAAGGATTGGAGCTGGTTGTACTGTTGGTTGTTTATGAAGTGTATGGGGAATCATACCATAGTTCCACTCTGTATTTTTTCATTACTTTGTCAATGTGGTTCCTGGTTGGTTCCTGGTTGTTTGCTCCTTTTGTGTTCAATCCATCTGGATTTGAGTGGCAGAAAACAGTGGATGATTGGACAGACTGGAATAGGTGGATGGGAAATCGTGGTGGCATTGGTCTAGCAACAGACAGAAGTTGGGAATCCTGGTGGGATGGAGAGCAAGAACACCTGAAATTCACAAACATAAGAGGTAGAGTGTTTGAGATAATCCTGGCTCTTCGCTTCTTCATCTACCAATATGGCATTGTCTATCACCTTGATATAGCTCATGGCAGCAGGAGCATACTGGTATTAACATTTCCTTTCATTTTAGTTCTTGTTTTAAAAGTTCTGTATCACTCCCTTTCTTACAATCCACTAATACTATTTCTTTACAGGTTTATGGGCTTTCATGGTTTGTTATGGCAACTGCTCTTCTGGTTTTAAAGGTATGCATACAAATCTCTAAGCAAGTGGCGAGTTATTGATTTCAATGGTTCTATTGGGTTCAGGGGTGGAGCCACCCACGGGCTGCCCACCCTTAATTCTTTTTATTGATATTAGATATGTATTTTTTGAAATAAAATTTAGACATATTTAATTGTGTCCACCATATTATTGTATTCTGGTGATATCAATTTGGATGGACTCTTACCTAAATGATTATTAACTTTTGAACAATGTTATTCAGACTAAGGTTAAGAACCCAATACATTTTGATATTAAGCATAATAGTGAGTGTAATAAGCTTCACTATCTATCCAATGGTCACAAATCATTGGGTTTTTATCAATTAAATCCCAAATTAAGTGCACTTACCATTATTCTTAACTTTTAGATACGTTTCAGACTTGTTCGAATAAGTTCTCGACATATTGAAGTTATTTATAATTTTTTTTTTAAATTATGGAGTTATTTTGTTATTGAATAAAAATGAGTGTCATTATGTAGTAAATTATAGGGACATAAATGGAAGATTGTTATTCCAATTTTATATATAAAAAAATATTTATTGATAAAATTGATTTGTAACTCTTTTAAATGATAAAAACACATAATTAGTCTCATTCTTATTAAGAAATTTTAATTATTTTTTATTTGTTCATACTATGTATATCGGTTTTTAACCTTTTATGATTAATGAACTTTTAAGTATTAAATATGATTTCTGTAAATATGAATTGATGAACTTCTATGGTCTATTGAAAAAAAATTATAACTTAGTTATGTGTCCACCCTAAAAAAAATTTCTGGCTCTGCCCCTGATTGGATTCATGAACTGACTGTGCTAGTTATTACCACTATATGCTTTTCTAGATTATCATGACATGCCCACGCACACTACTGAGTAACATCTGTCAAAGAGTTCGTACAGCTTCTCTGTACCTTGATCAATATTCATCCGCTCTAATACTGTTTATTAAGTGACTTTGTTTATTATCAGATGGTTTCAGTGGGCAGACGAAGGTTTGGTACCGATCTTCAACTCATGTTCAGGATTCTAAAAGCGCTGTTGTTCCTTGGCTTTGTATCAGTCATGACTGTTTTATTTGTGGTTTGTGGCCTGACTTTAAGCGATTTATTTGCTTCTGTGCTTGCCTTCATGCCCACTGGGTGGGCCTTTGTTCTAGTAAGTTTAAACTTCTACATGCTATAGAAGCTCTTATGTTTTTCTTTTTTGGGCGTATGCATATTACTATTTGCTAAAAATAAATGTCCCTTCTGTGAAATGTTAATTCATATACTTACTGAAATATTTTGTTACTGCACTGTTCTTAAAATTCTTATTTTCCCACGAACTTCCAAGAATAAAATTTTCCAACCTGGACTTCAAGATTCAAAATATTTGTAGCTAAAATCAGTAAATATAAGCTACCAAACTCAGTATGCCTTGATGCATTTCTCAGTCGTGTCCGAGAAAACAGTAGGACACTCAAATGCAGTCAGCTGAAAATATAAGGATAAGAAAATGAGAAAGAATACGAATCTGAAACTGGGTTTTGTTTTTCTGTTTCTAACATTGTGTTTTTTTTGTTCTTTTTTGTCTTGTGCTTCCAAAGATTGGCCAAGCGTGCAGGCCCGCACTGAAGGGCATAGGATTCTGGGATTCAATAATGGAGTTGGCAAGGGCATATGAATGCGTAATGGGACTGGTAATATTCATGCCCATAGTCATACTATCCTGGTTCCCCTTTGTATCAGAGTTCCAAACTCGGCTGCTCTTCAATCAAGCGTTCAGTAGAGGTCTCCAGATTTCGATGATTCTTGCTGGCAAGAAGGAGACTTCGTCAAATTGAAAATCTAATTCTAACACCTCAGTTTTAGTTTCATACAATACGATTCGTGTTGTATTCTTTGAATCACAATTGGAGTGTGATCACACAGACGCCATACTATTTATTAGATTTATTTTATGTTGTTATTTTTAGGTGACCCGTTCTTTACATTTCGAGGTTAAGCTGTTAATAGCGAAGTTTGACCCGTTCTTAATAATTTTGATTTGTTTTGTTTTGTTTTGTTTTTTTTTTTTTTTCTAACAGAGTCGACTTGGATTCTCTATTTTAACTCACAAATCGAGAATCATTGTGATGAATTTTTTGGAAATGACTTTGTAAAACAGAGACTTGAGTGGCAATAGAGAACCTATTTAAGATGCTTTAATCGTTCCTCAAACATACGCATTATATTGCTTCATGTAACCAAACTTAAGGGATACACATTATCATTGTTATGTGGTATTATTAATTAACAATAAACAAACAAGTGGGGTTAGTGGATCTCCTTGTATTCAAGAATTATCAATAACTTTCACATCCCATAACTACTACATTGAATTACTCGGTTTCTGTAATTTTAAATGTTTATTTTCTATTAATTGACGATATTACGTGATAATGATAACGTGATATCGTGTATTTATTCGGATCTATATGTTGATCATTTGATCTGTTCACTGAGTCTTCTATCAAGACACAATTGAAAGGAATCAGAATTTAAAAATAATAATAATAATTTGATTCTTTATACTAAGATCTATCATATAAAATACAAATTAAGAAATCTTAGATTTATAAAGAAGATTAAGGATTATCTCTTAAAGCGTGTTTTTAACGATCGTCAAGTATTCTCAAAAATTTTGAATATTTAAATCGGAATTTGATCTTTATCTCGAGCCTTGCAAATGTTTAGTTTTTATCGGTATCTACATGAATTGATAAACTTGAAGGATCTACCTCAATTTTTAATAAACTAGTATAGACAGAATAAATGGTGGTTTTTCTTGTGCTAGCAAGAGAGTTGTTATATCTTATATCTATCTGCTACATGAAGGTATTTACAGAGCCTTAAAAGACTCTAATTTTAGTTTGGGTCAAGTTTTAATTATCTTATAATTATATACAATCCCTTTATTAATCATGAATTGTAATAAAATTTCTAATTAACTTTTAATTAGGTTTTCACTCCAATTAACTCTTAATTGATTATCTCTCTTTTATCCTTTAGTTTTCAATCAATTCTATTGTATGTGACCTTGTAGGTTCAAACATATGTATTTGTAAGTATTCGATACTAACTAAAAGTAGCATCTCAAATTAAAATTTGTTCTAATTTAGCTTGAATTAAAACTCTTTTTATTCTCCCTTTATGAAGAATAATTAATATATTTATATTAATTTTATTCTTTCAGCTTTCTACTAATCATGAGTAAAAAAAGACTTTATTCAGTCTAACAGTACCAATAGGCCTTTGGTCCAATGATACTCCTTACCTTGTAAATGATTTACCTTCTTGAGGTCAAAGGTTCAAGTCCATCTCCCTCTCTCTCCCAACCCTCCCAAAAAAAAAATTCAGTCTAACAGTATATCATGATCAACCTTCGGATATCACAAAATAGGTAAAGAACTTATTCCGTCTACAGTTATTATGTAATTTAATCTTTCTATCACACAATGCTTCAATTGAATTATTAGGGTATGAAATTACTATCAAATCCCGAATTCAATCTTATGTGTTCGATCTTAGGACTATTTTTTTTTTTTTAAAAAGAAACAAAATTTTAATGAGTAAAAAAAGAATTACAAGAATAAAAAAGGATAAGCCAAAATTTGGCTTTAATCCTTCAAAAAATTACAAGCTTAGGATAATGACTCTTAATGGTAAATTAATAACTCTTTTCTAATTGTCATTTTGCCTAAGCCGATGACTCCATGCGTCATATCTCAGAAGATCATATAGGACATTCTTATTTCATTTACTAAGGGTGATAGATTCTATGTTGTACACTCATAAATCTTCAAGCATGTCTAACTATATCCAACAATACGTATGCAAGTTACATAGTTAGTATATAAATATGTTGTATAATTAAAGCATATAAGTCTATGCACAAGACAACCATAGTGTCTCAAGATTAAGGATCAGTTATATAACTATAATTTCAAGATTTAACATTGACAGGTATGTAAAACTCTATATCAAAAATCCTACGTTAGTCAATGACTACGTTCAGTGTACTTGTTTTCTAACAAGCATCCACACACTTGTTTCAATGTCCCTACGCTAGTGATTTGGAAGAGTCACCTTGTTATAAATATGAGTAAACACAGTATATGCTAGTCTATCCGAATTACATAATGCCAACATAGTAATCCTATGATTAGGAACATTTAAGAGTTAAGTATTAAAAAGTATAAGTCTTCTCTTCTTAAGTCCTTGAGAAATTATCTTCTTAATTTATACTTTATAAACTATATGATGTACATTAAAATAAAATAAAATAGAAATATGATAAATAAACTTGTCATTTTATTTAATTAAGTAATGAATGTTATTAATATAACCCGAAAACATTATCTATATGATTGATCTTAGAACATACTACTAACAACATGCATGTATGGAATTCCACCAATCCCGCTACGTACATACCCTCTTTGAACAGGCAAGAAAAATATAAAGATTTCTGTGCGTGCAAGATCCTGCACAATATAAAAAATATTGGGAACAGCTCTCTCCCCTGGTGAACTTTGAGTGAGCCGGTTGAGTGGCCAAACACACTGCTTGAAACGGCCTACAAGGAACGGTGGCAACCTGGAACGACAAAGGAAGATCCTGGGAAAGGAGGAACGATCCTGTACGTGTGAAAGGTATTTCTTGGAACAAAGGAGAACAAGTTAGAAGGGCGCCGGAGTGTTTTCCGGCGTATCCCCTCCGACGGTCTAGTCAGTCTTTGAATGAGAGAGAGGAAGGAGAAAACACTGATAAGGATATTTTGTAGTAGTGAGTTTGTGATTGCATACCCGCTTTGCCTTTTGGGAGGAGTATTTATACCTTAGAAGCTCATGATTGCTGTCAGTGTGGTCAGCAGGTGATCATCAGGCACATGTAGCGTGTGTATTGATTTGATGAGGAACGTCTTCTCTAATTGATTGCTCGGGGTCCCGAGCAATTAATTCTGAGCCGTCGGGATGCCGACGGTACAATATGATCCTTTCGGGAAGGACGCAATAAATGCTCTGTAATAGGAGCATTTATTGCCTTTCATATCCGAACCTTACCGCATTGAATGCGGTCTCGTCAACAGAAGGGTGCAATTAATTTGTTTGCTTTCCCAAGTCGCGTGTCAGCGACGGCATGCGGTTTGTCTGCTTCTGATGTGACATTATCTGCCACGCGTCCATCCCTTATTGGCTGCGACGTCGGTATTCCAGCGTGTTCTGACATTACTTGTGTTAAGACGAAGTTATGATGAATAGTCTAGACTGGCATAGGCTGATGTCCCGTACGTCAGTAGCTTTATCCGGGAGTAGTGGAAGCGTCCAGGATGGAGGGACCCTCGGCACCGAGGAAAGGCTCACCTCGGGGACCGAGGGTGGTATGTTCCGAGATACACAGTGACCGAGAACACGTGTCGTTGTATAATGCACCGAATATGTGATCCTATATGAGAGGTATCTCGGGGGAGAGGACGCCTTTTGCCGATGGTTCTTGAACCCGAGCAACATTGTTCTAGAAATCCCGAGGACACGTGTCTTCATCATAGGCTTTTCAGAAGAGTCCCATCAACTGCCCCCCAGCCTTCGATCTTCTGACGCCGAGGACACGCGTTGTCAGGAGACGAAGGGTTTTCCAACTGCCATCCGTCCTTCATTATGGCCTCGAGCAGCTTTCCCCGGCTTGGGACGTCGTGCGCATTAAATGCGCTGTTTTGGTTCTCCCGCCCAATGATGACAGTTTTCCCCCCTATATAAAGGGGGTTCTTCTCTGGTTTCCATCGTTTTGCCATTCCGATCTCTGACCCAGAATACGCCTTTTCTGATCTGCTCGCCGGAGTTTTTTGTTTCCTCAGCCATCGTCGACAACATCTTCTCTTAAAATCACAGCCAGTAAACCCATTGTTGACTCCAGGTCTTTCCGGTGCGAGTCATTTTAAAGTTTTTTCCTGAAAAACTCCGTTTTCGACGTTTTCGGGTGAGTTTCACAACCTTCTTCTTTATCGTCCTCCTAGCCTTCCTGTTTTCCGATTTGAACGGTGGTGTCATCCGGTCGGTACGTCTTGATTTAAACCCTCGGGGAACTTCCTCAGGTTTTCAAGAGAGAACACTTTTTCCTTCCCTTTCTTTTAGAGATGCCTCGTCGTCGCCCTGCTCCCGAGAATCCATCGGCTGGTCCCTCGGGGTCAGGGAAATACAAGGTGACAGGCGAGGCGCAGATCGATAGGTTCAGGGCTAAGTATGGCATCCCCCCGAGCGTGGACGTAGTGGGTTTTAACCCTTTGTTGAACTCTCCTACCTTCGGGGCCGCGGATGCCATGCCTTTCTATACCAAGGCCATCATAGAGGGTGGAATTAGGTTTCCTTTACCCCCTACTTCTTCAGTTCCTGTCTCGCTTCCGTCTCTTCCCCGGGCAATGCTGCCTCAACGTCTTTCGAATAATCATGGGGGTCCTAGAGCTCAATAGGCGCCTCGGGGTGAATATTGGGCTCGATGACCTCCTTTTCTGTTACTCCCTCCTAAGAGTCATGCCTCACCAACACTTCTACCTCAAAGCCCGGGACCCCTCCATGTACCTTGTAACCCATCTTCCTGATTCGGACAAGGGGTACAAAGACGACATCTTAATCTTCAAGGGATGTTGGGAGAGGGGTGTTGGTCCCGAGTACAATGACTTATTTTGCCCTCTGGAATGGAGAACGACAAGTACGTCGGTTTCTTCGGGTTCTTTATTTGTTTCTTGGGACTTCTCATGTTTATGACGATCTTTTTTGTTGTGCAGATATTCCTTCTCGGGAAACAGCTCCACCTCCTCGGTCACTGGTCAACTTTGCCGATCTAGTAACGGTTTGGAGTTTCACGGGCGCCGACGGGTTTGGCCGAGCTGCTCATAATCTGCTGCAAACACCTGGGTACAAGAAGTTTTCACAGCTTCCTCAACCTTTCGAGTCTTCGCAGTGGTCAGAGCTCTTTGATCAGGCGGCGAGGCTAGAGGTCGAGCAGAATTTGGAGGAAGACCCGGATCGGGCTT